AGCACATGCTAGGGTATTTGCAAAGCAGCATGTGTTGGATTCTCTTCAGATCAGCCCTGCCATCTTTTTCCCACAGTTTTGTGGATGAGTCTTGTCGCAGCTTCCAAGCATGCAAAATCCAGAATTGCAGAACCCCCTCCACCCGCAAGCTGATCCTAAGCTCCTCCACCCTCAACCCTAGCTTGCGCCGAGGGCAGGGGCGTTGGCGAGCTTTTTCGGGCCTGGGCCTCAGCTCCACAGACCTGTGGGAGCTTCGAAGAGGACGTATGTGGAGGTTAAGATAGGTTTGGGGAGCCGGTGATGAATCTGCAAAGGAGCCAAGAGTAGATTTTTTGTTTCGGTACCAAGATAAGCCCTCAGTATCACGACTCTCCTTACCCCTAGATAAGGATACCCCTAGGTTTTGAAAAGGCCGAGTAGCCGGTCGAAGCGCGAAGCCCTGATGCCCGCAAGCATCCCCAAGCGTATTCGCAGTCTTCCCCAAATATAGGGGCCTTAATAATTGCCTATACTTTTNNTTTTGGGGGGGGGTCCTTATTATATACATTTATAGTGCAATATTGCCCTGAACCCTAAACCCGAAATTCCCTTGAAGAACCGCGCATTTGTGGATGCTCAAGTGGTCCTGAAGCCCCAACCCTAAGATAAAACAAGTCCTATAGCTATAGTATAATATACACTAATTATTAAGGATTAAGGCCCTTACATTATAAGCCCTACGCCGAAGGTGCCTGTGCTTCAAGCAGGTCGGGTGGTGATAGGGTTGCAGGTTTAGCTTCTTTTCCATTCTCGGTTTAGGGTTTAGGGTTTAAGGATGATGGGGCTTCTTGGGGTGTGTACCGGGCTGGCAGGGTTCGCGGCTTAGAGCTTTGGGGCTCGAGCTTCAGGTTCGGCCCAGATGAAGGAGACCAGGGTTTAGGGTTTAGGGTTCAGGGTCTAGGGTTTAGACCAGATGAAGGGGTGTCTCAAAGTATCTTGAGCTACAGCGACATTTTTTTTCCGCGGGGCCCCTGTGCGAAATTCACCTTCAGGGCCATGACAAATCAAGCTCTCAGGTCGAGATCAGGGGGCGACATCAAGAGTAGGTCCTTCAAAATAGTGGTAAGGCGTGTTTGGCCAATTCCGGCTCAAAGTCTGGGTGTTAGGGGCTTGGAGTTGGGTTTGGGATGATCGGGATGTCCAGTCTTTTGATGGGTCGCACCCCAGCAGGGCTTACAGCAAACTGAAGACCCTAAATCCTCAACTCTCTTGCGCCCCTGAACCCTAAACCCTAAACCCTAAACCCTAAACCCTAAACCAAGGCCGAACACCCTAAACCCTAAGCTTACGCCCAAAACCCTGGAAACTGGTCTTCAGCCTTCAGCAGCCCTCTGGCAAGGGTTTCGGGGGAGCCCATGCCCTTCAACCTCATAGCCCCCCCCCCCCAAANNAAAAAAAAAAAAAAAAAAAAACCGTTGTCTCAACTCCGACATGGTGGCTTTAAGTTTTTGGGAGCTCTGAGTTTGGAGTTGGGGTTTTTGGGGGCTCAGGGCCGAACTCCGACATTCCAAAGCCTGAGGTCCGAAATCATCGGGGCTCTTTTTGGGGGCTCCGAAGCCCTGAAGCCCTGAATCAACCAACTCCAAAACCAGAAGACCTAAGGCTCTGTACCCTGAATCCCTGGCATGGGGTCCTCCACTGGACCTTTTCCCCCTGTTTTTGTGGTCTTGGGTTCCTTATATAAAACTACCCAACACCCAACAGACAGAGAGCCCATTTTAGTCTTAGGTCACTGGGGATCTTACGGTTGATGATCTACATCCTGCTTNNGCTTTACCTTAAGGACCCGAAACTATGGGAATTATGGTATATTCCTTGTTGTGGGTGATTCCCCTAAACCCTAAACCCTAAACCCTCAACCCTAAACCCTAAACCGGATGCAGGATTTAGATCAACAGCCTTAAGCCCTTCCACCTTAATTTCCCAACGGAGCCCAAGGCTCACAGGGATAAGCGGCTCAGTTCTAGATGAGGTATGGACCACTGAGCCCTAACGCCCTTTTCGTGTTTGGGGCTTCCAGCTATATTCTAAGTTGTTCGTTTGGTGTCAATTTTGTGACTTGAAGGGCTTCGTCGGTGCTGTGTGTGAGTGTGTGTGTTGAGGTTTTGAAGCGGTTTACGACGAAGGCTTGACGGCTTAAGGTTCGTACCTTACCGGGCCGAAACCTTCAACCCCGGTCCTGAAGCACGAAATCCGAGCCTTTGGGTTGAGGGTTTCTAAACCCAAAACCCTAAAACCCCGAAGCCCTAGCCCTACACCCCTAAACCCTACACCCTGAACCTCTAAACCCTAAACCCCTACGCCCCTAAAACACCTCTAAAACCTGAAACCCCTTTGCAGGTGCTGCCAGAGAGAGCACGTCGGCACAGGCGGTGACAGCGACCGTCTCTCAGGGAGCTGAGGCCCTTCGGGGGCTCTCGGAGTCCTGCGATTTCAGGAGCAATCGGAAAAGCAAGAGCAGTACTAATTTTAGTGGTAAGGGTGGGATTTAGAGGGATTCGGACTTTAATAGCAATATAATAAAAGTCATACTAAAATTTGCGGTAATAATAGGATTTAGAGGGATTCGGACTTCACGGCTTAGGGGCAGGGGGCTTTAGGGGTCTAGGTTCCGGGTTTTGAGGTCTAGAAGCTCTTTAGGGCCATTTCTCTCCTTCACTTGGCGTACTTCTGGTTGGCTCCTAGGACTTTAGCTTTTTTGGGTTTCTATGTGAACTCTAATAAGCAGGCTGAAAGTTTAAAACTTTTAGGAGGGGTTCAGAAGTCAGCCAAGCTCAGATAAGGCCTGTGACATGGACATTGTGGCGTACATGGCTTTGCCTGTCCGAATCCTTTCATCCCCAAACCCTAAACCCTAAACCCTAAACCCTAAAACATCATCATTTCAGCTGCTGACCTGAGCACAGGTTCTATATGGCTTCGGACGTTAGGGCTTGGGTTACAGCTTCGGGGCTTGCGATGGAGGGTCCATCAAGGCTCCTAGGACTTTTGGAGTTCGGAGGCCTTGCATGGACTTTGCCTGGCTCGGCCGAAAGCTGCAGGGTGGGATGGGATTTTCCGGGCAGAGTTCTGGCATCGAGGCTTGCAGTTCAGTGCCATAAACCTTAAACCCAATTCAACCCCAAAAGAGTAAACCTAGTCAAGCCACACAAACCCTAAGCTTTTCCGAAGGCCGAGAAACTGAAGCCCTCAAACAGCGAGTCATCCGAAGGCTTTGGGTTGGAAGTTTCCGCAGCCGTTGTGCAAGTTCTTATCTCTCGCACGCTTTGTGCAGCAAACGCATGACTGGTCATCGTTCATTTAGGTGAAGGATACTCCCGGATCGTACGACTAGTATGTTCGAGTTTTGGGCGTCAACAAATACCTAAAACCCCAAACCTGGACCACCCCTAAACCCCGGATCATCAACCCACAGGGGGAGTTGGGGTGTCCCGTGGCAGAGCGCTTGCCTTGCTTGGAGGCCTCCGGCGCTCCAGACCCTACCACCCCGCAGGGGGTCCTGGAGAGCACCCGGGTTTTGCGTGCTCCAAGGTAGAGCTAGTAATCCTTGGTGTTCTTCTGGTTGGCTCTTAGGACTTTAACCTTTTGGGTTCCTATATGAAGCAGAATAAGCAGACTAAAAGTTTAACTTTTTGGAGGGATTCAAAAGTCAGCCAAGAATCGTAGGTGGCACTAGTGTTGCAGTCGGGGTCGAGACATTCATTGCAAGGGGGGATTCTGGGATGCAGGATCTGACAAGAATAGTAAGAACTGGTACGATATGTCGGGGGCTAGTGTAGTCTTCCTGTAAAGAGTTTGTTAATGCCTTCAGTACGACTCAAAGAGGGGTCCATGGATGCGGAGTACAGTGCTCCGGGCAGTCGTGCGCTTTTGAACCGAAGTCTGCTTGGTAGAGAAGTGTGTCGGTGAAACTGGTTATCGTTTCACCTGCTTGCCTTCGTCCCTCAAAGATGTTAGGCTAATTAAACCTGCGCCGAAACTATAAGAGAGATTCGGCTGACGAGGTTGGTATTTGTAACCCCACGCCCTTTGCACACGGGCCTGAATAGGATTTCTGATTCTTGTGCTTTTGTCCGTTGCCTACTTGAGAGCTTTGGCTTGCGCCTCTCAGTGCAAGAAGGTCGGTTCAAATTTCTGCACAAGGTTTTTGGCAAGTGTTCCTCAATGTGTTTAAAGGGTTTCGTTCAAATGTTCGACTAAATAGCAAGGTGCAGATTTATCAGCAGAAACACTTCATGTTTTCCCAGATTACCAGACTCTAGACTCATCCTACAAGTATTCGCTTAGCCCTGCTTTGAAAGGAGTCTGATGTAAATCCTTTGAACACCCTGCTGAATACGGTTGGGGTGCAGAAAATCAGGGTTCTTTGCATCAACTCGTACGCCAAACCCACCCTCAAACCTCAAACCCCGAAGCCCTAAATTCCTTCCAAGGCCCGAGGCCATCACATCCTTTGCATCAGAATAGCCGTCAACACCTAAAAGCCCCTGTAGCAATATTTGCTGATCCCTCAACCGATAAACCCGAAAACCTAAACCCGAGCCCAAAACCATACAACTCTAAAAAGACCCAGCCAGAGGCCGGTTGATCGGGCTCGGAGCATCTCAGGTGGCCGTGGGTAGGGAGTCCATTTCGAGGGCTGTTGAAGGGCTATGAGGGAGGCATTCAGGGCTTAATAGGGGTTAGATTGTGATGGTTTGGGGGTGCTGAGGGGCCTAAGCTCGAGGCTTGTGGCAAGGGCGTTACGTGCTGGGGCCTGCATTGGCTGCCATCCAAGGTTCCATCTAGAACTCCCGAAGTCTATCCAACAAGTTCCTGGAGACATATCCGCCATGGCAGTGCGCAGGGCAAAGTACTGCTTCAGGACATTTTGGTTAAGTTCGCGCATGGCGAAACCGTCAAAGTTGATGCTCTGGGGGCTGCTGTTCTCATGAAAGCTTCGTCCGTGTTTCACAACTAAGATGCTCGCGCATGACATGCGGGAGAAAGTGCATGGTGAGATCGAGCTTCCAGGCAAGGATGCCGCAGAGTTCGAGGTGCTCATGAAACTTCAGTTGCCGGGGAGTGCCCGACTGCAGAGATTATCCGAGACAGTGGGCTTCCTGTGGAAGTGGAGCGAAGAATACATGATTCTAGGGGAATATTGTACTATGACCATAATAAGGAACCCCATCATAGTATAGGTATAAGTCCCCTAAATTAGGGGCTTGAAAGATGACTGCCTGCAGTTCATTCGCTTTGCCGAAGCCTCAGAGAAGATTCTGATCGCTGCCCAGGAATTGAACATGGAGACCAAAGTGAGGGAGTGTATTCAGGAGCTCCTTGCCTCGAGCGAACGGGATTGGAAGGAATGCTACGGCACTTATGCTTTGCTGCAGACCATCGTTGAATGCACGATGCGATTTCTGGGGACTTCTGGGGCAGGTGGGGTTCATCAACAACAACAATTTGCTTATTTGCCGCCTGTCCCTGGACTGGGCCCCGCCCCCCGCACCTTCGCGGCAGCTTCTGTCTTGCGGTCGGCCTAGCAGCGAGAGCTGCCGCCTCCGCCACCACCACCACCACCACCACCACCACCACCACCACCACCACCACCACCACCACCAAATGATGCAAAAACTGAATGTCAACCGTCCGAACTTTGATAATACAGGAGTCTGAGTTGAATCTTGCCCTTGTATATAGTCCCTATGCAGTTGTAGTATACCGTTCCTCAAAACCCTATTCTTGTTCTTAAGGGCAGTTTATGTTACATCAGCCCGCAGAGCCCTGCAGCTTCGCATGCTCCTGTCCTTTGCCAGGTGTGGGCACAGGTGTCAACTACATGGGGCCATTGCCCTCAAACAAAGGCTTCATCGGGAATCCCGCGGACACCCGTCAGCAAGCATCATGGTCATACCGATAATGGGAATGACGGCTGAGGGATTCTTGTCCAAGGGTGCAGGTCCCTCCAGCACTCCCTGTGCTCAAAGCCTCAAGAAGCTATAACTCCGCAGTTCAACCCCTGTAGGCTTGATTGGACGGGGACGTTCGCACCCTTTTTCTAGGACAGGAGAGCTCAAGAAGTCTGACGTTGCTTTTCGGAGCTGAATGTAGCTAGGAGTTTCGGGCAGCGGTGTCTTCTGGAGAACTCAGAACCCCACCCACTCTTGTAAATCCAGAAGACAACTTCCACAACGGCATCACCTGTTCATCGGCTGCTAGGTTCGTGAAACATGCAGAATCCTAGGGTTTAGGAGTTTAGGGTTTAGGGTTCGGGGTTTAGGGTTTAGGGTTTACTAACCTTACCGAAAATCTGTAGCTAGCTAGGAAGTCCGAAGATCCTCCAGCGCTTCAGCCCGCTTCCACGCACCAAGGACAACGTGATGCCTACAGCGATGCCGCTGCCTCGGAGGGGTAAGAGAGGGTCAGAATAATCACCGATGCTATTCCTCAGGGTTCCTTAATCTCATTATAGTAGAATATGCCTATGATATACCCCCAAATCCTATTCTAATTATGAATGCGGGAGGCCTACATCCATTTAAAAAGCATGCGAAACCCCTAAGCCCTATTCCTGTACCCCAGACACCATAGTCATGCAGGATTTAAAGTTTATGAGGCCTGGTAGCAGCAAGCTCTGCAACCCCAGGCCGTAAACCGCAACCTCCGAGAACCTGAAGTCAGCTCCAATCCAAGAATAGGAAGCCTGCAAATTCAGCCCCAATGCCTTGGCGATCAGCCTAGTGGTACTGGGGCTGCCTTCCTTGCTCTGAATATGGTGAACCGTCCGCGTTCCGGTAAGACTTTACGACAAGGCTCCGTGAAAGCTTGCTGCACTGCAGAGCTTCTTCACGAGATGTAGATGTAGAGGCAATTGATGCACCCGAGCCCTTTCTTCTCCTCCGCCCCCAAAAACCCCCCCTAGAGTTGCCACGAGGTTGGAACTGTGAGGTCTGCGGAGATAGGGTTTAGGGTTTAGGGTTTAGGAGTCTGGGGTCTGGGGACTCGGAACCCAGAGCCTTTGTCGCGTAAGAGAGGCTGGATCACATTCGCCTTTACCGGCGAGTGCAGCTGAATTGGCAGGTCGGGACTTTCTGCAGCAATGTGGGTGTGGCTTTACAGCCGTCGTTGCAGCAGGGCTTAGAGATTAAGGTGCATGCCTTGTCCATCTTCAATGGACCAAAGGGGGACCCTTAAAGGGACCCTTTGGGTTATATAATATAGGGGCTTTAGAGACTATGTAAGGGGTATAAATAAAAGGGTTCGGGGTCCCTTCCCTCCTGTTGTCCCTTAACATCTTATCCTGATGACATGCCAATCAGCACCCGACACCCCGCTTGAAGAGTAAGAACAGCACCTGGGATTCTTTTTGATCATAAGATGACACTAAGGCTCACTGGTTGGGGGCAAGTTGGGCGTAACTTCCTGTCAACACGGATGATATGAAGGCTTAGGGTTTATATAGGGATTGCCATGGCAACCTACATAAATCAGTTGCAAAAAAGGTTTCCCCATTGCTTCCCCATGATCCTATCTGGGCCCGAATCTTGTCAGGCAAGCATGCGACTGTAAACAATGCATGTGGAGGCTGTTCGGCATTATGCTATCCTTCAGAGTCCTTGTATTAAGACAGATGTGTCGAAGGTACCCATGAGGAACGGGCACCCTAAAACTCGAAAGCCCACCTCCTTGCGATGGCTGCACCCGCCTACAAGCGCCGCCGCCATCGCAGCGAGCGGCCAGGGGACGTAACCAGTAAACGCTGAATTAAAGCCCAATCGTGAACGCCTTAAATCCTGAACTTTTAAAACGATCCCACAATGCAGCTCAGCACTTTCTGTATCTCGAGAACCCGTAGCCCTTACAGTAAATCTACGTGTTACACCCTGCTGTTTCAGCGTAGGTCCCCAAACAGTGATAGAGCACCATGACGACCACGACGATCAGCAGGAGACCAGACGACCAGGACACCACGGCCAAACTGTGTCGTACAGCTTTGTAGACGTCGGCATCCCTTAGTTAAGGGCCTGATTAAGGAACCCTAAACCCTAAACCCTTAAGGGCCTGATTAAGGAACCCTAAACCCTAAACCCTGAAGGGCCTGATTAATGAACTCTCTTGCATGGCAGGCCTACGACGCCTACGCCCGGGTGAGCCTGTTCTGTGGGGCCAACTCTCTGCCGGGGGCTGAAGCTTTATCTCGCGCGTTACACACCAAGACACCGCGAAGCCCGGAATCACTATTCTTTTAAACCCCTAAACCGTAAACCCTAAACTACACCGTTCAAGGTTACAAAGCTCCAGACAACATCCTGCATCCTGAGGCTTACAAGCTGTGGGGTTCAGATTTCAGAGGCCGAACAGAGGATGCTGCGGTGAGGTCTTACTTCATGCCTACTTGTGACCTAGCTTCTTGCTGCCCTACGCGTGACATAGCATGACAGGTAGGTGCATTGGTAGCCAAGGTGGCACTTTCGGAAGCTTTCAAATCTCCTTTGTGGTCCTGTAGAGGTACATTTTAATATATACTTTTGGGGGCCCCAAAACTTCAACCCAGCACCTTTTCGAATCTTCGGGGTCCAGGCGTTCAGGGCGATGCCACTTTATAATCGTCGTAGGTAAAGTCGCCAGAAGCCACGCGTGTACTCTCGAGAAGGCCCCAATACCTCTACCCTACATTTCAACCCGGACTCCAAAGAGCCTCAATCTCACATCCCAAATCCCCAAAGCCCCGGTAAGACTTGTTGTTCCTCGTGCTTTCCTTTGCATCTTCATGCTAAAACACGACAAACGGTTTATGGAAAGTCGAGTTATTGCTTATTAATTCGAAACGCACTCGAAACCCCCAGACTCCAATCCTCATTTCCTTCTCCCACAGCCCTGAACCCTGAACCCCTAGCCCACTCTTTCCTGGACCCTCCACCAAATCTTAAGTTAGGAGCCGCAGCATCCAGCTGAAAGTAGCCCAACTGATACTATTCTAGTCATATTCGACATGCTGCATCCCGTAATCCGAGTACCCCAACCCCTAAACCCACAAAGCCACTGCCACCAGGCTCTACAGCTGCCTCTACTGGGCACTCGGCTCGTGGCTTTGCTCCAGTGGCAACTTTTTTGTTTTGAGGGCGAGTTTAGGGTTTAGGGTTCAGAGCTTCAGGGTTTGAAGCTTAGGGCGCAGTGTTGACAATTATAGGACCCAGCACAAAGGCTTGTTTTGGGGCTCATTTAACTTCAGGGGCCGCTGGAGCATAGAACTCTCGGCCTTTCTCTTGTTCTCTATCTTCAGAACTCAGAGCAAGTTTTGAGCATGTGCACGTGTAGCAGTTGGCGCCGAGAGTTCAGCAGTTGGCACAGAGGGAGGGTTGAGGGTTGAATTCTCAGAGCGTTTCGGGTCAGAAGAATTCGCAATACCATTCCTTGGCAGTCCCTGTATATGAATACAATATTATCCCCCCATCCTTCCCATGATGCTTAGTAGGATAGTCCTTGTAAACTTGGAGCAGTATTCTCCTCCAGATCCCTATTCCGATTATGGAGGCTCCTCGATTTTCCTGTTCAGTCGGTCCCCGGCTTCATCGGGCTTGGCACCTTGTCGGGTTCTGGTGTTACCTGCTTTAGGCTCCAGGGACAAAGGTTCAGAACATGCTACGTAGCCTGCGGAGTGAGAAGCCATCCCCGAATGGGCTTCCGGAAGCGGGTGGTGAAAGACGAGTGCGAGAGATATTCCGAGTTGGGTTGCCCGTGCTGTCCCTGTGAGGTTTGGGGAGCGGTAAGGGTTTCCAAGCCTCCAAACCCTCCCTCGAACACAGGTTTCTAGGTGGACAGCATGCCGGCGTTGCGGCCATTTGCGTGGCGCTGGTCTTCGCCACCATCCAGGCAGGAATCTGCGTGTGTCTGCTTTGTGACCCAGCCTGACTCAAGATTCTACAATCCCCTACAAAGGCCCTACAAGCCATGTCCTCAGTTCTAGCTAATGAACATGATTGCGAAGTGTCGGTTCCGGCCTGCCTGCCTGCCTGCCTGCCTGCCTGCCTGTCTGTCTGTCTTTCTGTCTGACTCTATGTACTTATGTAACCGTATGTAGTGTCTGTCTGTCTGTCTGTCTGTCTGTCTGTCTGTCTGTCTGTCTGTCTGTCTGTCTGTCTGTCTGACTCCTATGTACCTAACCTATGTAACTGTATGTATGTATGTATGTATGTATGTATGTATGTATGTATGTATGTATGTATGTATGTACGCAAATGCGTCCGTACGCACGTATGTATGTACGTGCGTGCGCATCGTAGACTGAATCCCGCCTAGCAACTGAACCTGCGTCATTCTGTGCAGTGAAGCCCTCACTGCATGGTTTCGAGGTTTAGGGTTTTGAGGATTTCGGGTTTCGCTTTAGGGTTTAGCTGAACACAAGCAGTGCCATGAAGTTTTCGAGTGAGCCGCGTTCGTATTTGGCAGTGAATAAGTCAGAGGAGGACCAACAGTACACAGCACAAGCACTTGTATCGCAGAATAAGCGAGAATAAGAGTATACTGGTTCTGATTTAGAAAGGACTTCTCTTCTGATTCTAGTCAGCAAGCGCAAGTTGTTTTATGGGTCATCAACAGCGCAGCATACTCCTCCCGATATTCATATGCTGCGGGCAGCCTAGGATGCAGGAAGATCTGAAGATGTTGCTGACTGCTCAACCGTATAGCGCCTCTCTGGGCGCTTGGTCAAGTTGCGTTTGGGCTTTCTGGTTCAACGCTTGGCGTTTGGGATCTGGGCCACCCAGCATCCACCTCAAACCTGCACCCAGCAACTTCATGCCATGTGGTAACAGTGCAGGTCATGTTGACGAAGCTGGACTTGCGCTTAAGGCACGGGCTCTTCGGAGCTTTTCTATGTTTGTTTGACAGCGCGGAGCCTTCCATGTGGAGCTGTCGGCTGGGACGTTGTGTTTACTCAGGTCCGGGGTCAAACCCAGGCTACGAAAGTCTTGGAGATGCAGCTGTGACTGCACCGTGACGGATATCAAAAGCATGTGACCCCACAACAGGCTTGTTTTAGGGTTTAGGGTTTAGGGTTTACTGGATATATTGAGTGGAGCTGGCAACGATTCTGACAAACCAGAACTGACAGAGTGAAGGGCAGAGGGCCACATCAGATCACGTGCAGTGATGGATAATGGTGGCGGGTTGCATATGGGGTGGCTGTCAAAATTATGGTCCCTTTTTGGGTCCTTATTATAGTACGGCACCTATTGTTTAGGGTACCCCAAAAGGGACCATAAATTTGACAACAACCCATATGACAGCAGGTGAAAGTAGCTCGTGGCAGGTGGCAATAGGTAAACCATGGATGACAACACATGGGTAGTTCTCCAGATTAGGATGCCTTTCGGGTTCCCACATTAGTACGGCACCCTAAGAAAGGGATCCTAGCAGATTCCCTACTTTAGAGAACTACCCACTTGATGTTGTATGTTGTAGAACCCTTCGTGCTGCCATTGTCCGCAGCACCTTGCTAACCGACTTGGTTAAAGGATGCCTGGTGCCGTGTTTTGGATGTAGGGGTCTATTGTCTGCCGTGACCTTCACACCAATCATGTCGCTGAGACATGTGCAGCGACAACATTATGGTCTGAGTCATCCCACACCCTGAGAGAAGCGGCTGAATTTACACCTGGTTGAGAAGGTAGCAGGTTAGGTGCAGTCAAACCTCTTCATCCTGACCCCGGACTGAACAGGGCCTACCACCTTCGCCGGATAGCGCTGCTCTTGGCTTTCACGCCTTTCGCCACCACGGCAGGTGCGACCGCTTGTCGTCGCAGGGCACATCATGAAGAGTTTCCCTGGCATGCTTGCTGAAACTCTGAATGACTTCTGGCGATGGTTACGGTTCAACCAAGACAGTCTGCGCCCATTCCTCGCAGCTTTTGGCCCATCAAGAAGTTCAGAAACATGAAGAGGCCATGGAAGAGGAGAGCCCACCCTCAAGCCCGGAAGCCCAGGTCGCAAACCTACATAGCCCCTACGCCCTGAACACCGCGCCTCAAGCCCTGAACCCGTAACTCGTAACCCTGACGTCCTTGAAGCTCCGAAGCCTGGAGACCCAGACGCAGAGCCCTCTGGTGGCGAGGAGGGCGCAATACAGAGCACCATGGGCCCATCGCCAAGACTGGAAGGGCTCGGTTCAGCGATCTACACGTCCTGCAAAGCGTAGACAGACGATCTAAAGCTTGGGGTTGCTAAGCCCGAAACGCTAAACCTTGAAGCTCAAGACCCGTCATCTTGGAGTTTCCAGAAGCAAAGCTGCTCCTGCGAACTTGAAGGATCGAGGCGACATCAGGAAGAGGGTCACTCCAGGCACAGCCCTCCTCCTAGCCTTGCTTACTAGTTCTACAAGGTCACTTTAGGCCTTCAGACCCATGCTAGGGCGGTTGAACCCCCAAGCTGAAGCCCTATAAAGGCCTAAAAACCGTCGAAGCATGGAGGGTTTGGTCGAAATTATGATCTCACCTGGTTCTCAAGCTTAAAGCCTAAGCCCTCAACACCACAAGCTTGATTAACCCTACACGGCCCTACACTCCTAGCTGTGCGAGGTGAACTAAGGGCCTAGTTTATGAAAACACAAACCCTCTAAGCTCAAACCCCCCCGGCCCCCCCTACATTCTTCCCCCCAACTCCCCCAACTTTAAACCTTAAACTCCCACAATCCAGGCCAAAACGCCCCAGACCGTAAACTCTAAACCCGAAGCCATGGAACCTTTGTGTAGGCATGGAGATCCTACATCACATAAGTTTCATAAGCCCTAACCTTCTAAAATCAGCCCTTATAGGACGTTTGAAGGAAGCCTATACCAACACCTGAGCCCTCAGAGCAGTCCCCTCCCTACTTAGAGGATCATGGGACTTGGTAAGTAATAGACTCAATAAGTTGGAGGTACTTATACCCCGACCTACTAAGTCCCATGATCCTCTACGTTCTCCGAATCCTTTCGTCCACCCAAGGCTTCGCCCGCAGCGTCTCCGCTGGTGCCACCTTTGAGCCGCATGTTCCCGGCCCAGTGGGTTTTTTGAACGATTCCACCATTGTTCTATGAGTGGGTTACCTCCTAAACTTCCATTCCCAAAGAGTCTAGGCCATTTTCAGGTGGGTAGTTACCGTTATAGGAGCCTTATAGAAGGTTTATATACCTTATAGAAACCTTATAGAAGCCCTGTATACCCTACCCACCTGTAGCTTCCTTTAAAAGAGAGGTTAAACTTCTATCAAACCCTAAATCCAAAACCCTAAACCCCACTTCTATTCCCGAAGCCCGAGGCCACAGCTCTCAACGTGATCCCCTCTCGGCAGAACCTCTTCCTCCCCGAGCACCGCCCGGGGCCAACCTGGGCGTCCTTCCTATGGAGGGCTATATGCTGAGAGGATCATTGGTAAGTAGGATGATACGTACTTTACTTAGGGTGTTAAGTAGATACATCTGGTTGCCTTACTTACGACCCTACTTGCTAAAGCCATTGACACATTAGGAAAAGGTCGAAGATTCCGCAATCGAGTTTTTTCTGGGAGAGATTAGAGCGGAGTGCTTCTACTCGCTCGGGCAATGCTGACCCTCAGAGTTATTAAGGCCCCCATGTTAAGGTTTTGCCAACCCGAGCCCCTAAACCCTAAACCCAAGCCCCTAAACCCTAAACCTGACCCCTAAACCCTAAACCCTCAAACCCTAACCCCTAACCCCAGGTCTCCAGGAGCCTGAAGAAGGGTGCACATGAGCATTAGTATTCTGGAGAAGAGGGGCCCGTTCTGGGAGCTCGGTCCTTTTGGGTTTATCTACAAAGCGGCCTTCATAATTAGAATAGGGGTTGGAGGTATATTATATGATACTTATAGTAGGGACCCCCCCCCCCTCCCAAAAAAAAAAATAGTATAGTTTATTAAAGGTAATTATTCAGGCCCCTATATTAGTCATGTTGACAGTGGCTTACAAGCCGCAGTTTGGAAAGACTTTTTGATCCCGATCATTCCATTTGAAGCATTGTGTACTCTTTTCAATGTATTATATCGTGGAACCACAGCTCCACCCCTGAACCCTCAGCCCTACAGCCTCCCTCCCCTCGAGCAACCACAGAACACGCCGAAGCGACTTGAGTACTCATACCCCGCAACCCAAAGGGCCCTGCATTAGGTCGGCGAGGTCCGCGGGTGCGTTGGCTTCCATGGGAGGCCTCCTCGGGTTTCGCTTGATGTTTTTGTTGGCATGCTGTAGCGGCAAAAAAGGAGCCTTAATATTCAAAGTGTTGCTCACCAGCCAAATCTGATACCCCACCCCCCTCGGTTTTTCGAAGACTTGTCCGTGATAACGAACTTGATACAGGGCAAGCAAGAAATCGATGCTTGCAGATTCCAAATCTTCGATGCTGTGCGAGTTCGCCGTTGGATGTATGTTTCGCACCCAAGATAGCAGCATGGCTCTTCCAATAGTTAGAGGTGAGGCTTTCGTCATTCGTACACACCTCGCAGTAGCATGCCAAGTAATATTCCAACAAAGCGAAGAGTCTTGCGTTAGAAGTAAAGCACTGTGGCAGAGAAGTGCTGCAGTGAAGGTGCCACACATGTTTGTGTGTGTGTGTGTTACCTTGTGTTTGGTGAGATGTCTTGTGGTCGCCAGTACATGCGGGAATGCTAAGGGCAGGATCTGGGGCTCGACGGTTGAATTGCGTGTTGGACTGTTCTGTGGGCTCCACATGTCAGTCTCAGTGTTTTCTCGTGAATACTACATCCGGAGATCTCGGGGCGAACTTGCTTGAAATGCATCGTTGCGAAACTCTACCTGTTTTCGTGGATGCATGTTGAGAACGCCGGTGATGCAGTCTGATAGTAAGGAGCCCCCAAAATCGTGTTGGTAATTGTGTAGGTTCTCGTAAGTACGCTGAGA